CTGTCATCACCATGATGTCACAGTGCACTGTCATCTCCATGATGTCACAGTGCACTGTCACCTCCATGATGTCGCAGTGCTCTGTCATCTCCATGATGTCACAGTGCTCTGTCATCTCCACTCCATGCTGCATCCAGTAAAATATTATATATCTTAGATTTTTACCCCATCCTCTCTTCCTCCCCGCCCCTACTCCATCTTTGGTCTTTTTTTTGGCTTTCTCTTTCTCTCCCTCCCTTCTTCCCTCCCTCTTTTTGTTTGGTACTAAGGATAAAACTCAGAGCTTCTATATTAATTAATTGTTCTACTTTCAAGCTATATCCCATTTACTTTAGATTTTGAAATTATTTTTATAATTTTGAGATTTTAATTGTTTCCTTTTCTCCTTTCAGATACTCCTATGTACTCTTTTCCCCACTTTTTTTCAAATTCATGGCCTCTTTAATTGTTGTTACATGTGTGTGTGTGCGTGTCTACAATACCTAGATTTATAAATACAGTCTATGTACTCTGTAGAATGTTACTTGTAGGTATGTTTTCTGGGCTTACCATTTGGTGTTGGATAACCAGTTCCTGTATTCTTCCCTGGAGAAGACTATTTTGAGCATTGTTTAGTTGCCTATAGTTCTTTATCTAACATTGAGGCCTTGTGAGCCTGTCCTTTCATGTAGCATATATATTGATGTCATCCTTGTTCAGGTCATATTTAGACAGTCATGTTGATCAGACTTCATAGATGTAGCTTCAAACATTTGTAAGAACAACAGTCTCACAACAAACTCCTAATTCTAATTCCCAATGCTGTGACCTTTTGATACAATTCCTTATGTTGTGGTGATCCCGCCCATAAAATTATTTTTGTTGCTACTTCATAACTATTATTTTGCCTGTTATGAATCATAATATAAATATCTGTATCTTCGACTGGTCTTAGGACCCTGTGAAAAGATTGTTTCAAACCCTGAGGGATAGTGAGCCACAAGTTGAGAACCATGGCTTTGGCTCTTCTGTTGTGTCTGTAAGGACCCACGAAGAGGACCCCCAACTCAGGTCCCAATCAGCGCACACCCAAGGAGACACACGAGAGACTGACTTGATGCAAATGGCAAAAGGCAGTTTACTAACGAGGACCCTCGGATCGAAACTCATCCCACGCAGGGGAGAGAATTTCGATGAAGACTCCAGGAAGTTTAGAACTTTTATAGGGGGAGGCACAAGGGGGAAGGGAAAAGTGGGAAATTCTGGCGCGGTTACATATGATTGGATATTTCAAACATCAGAATTTTGCGTAAGCAATCATTTTGACAGGCTGGATGGCCCACTATTTTTGACCATAAAACCTCAGACCTTCTAGGATAAACACCAGGTGGCCCATTACTCACTTGGGCATGTTTAGACTGGTCAAGATATGTCTTTGGTTGTTTCTACATTTTTGGTCACCTCGTCCCTAGAGGGGCTTGATATTTTTATTATGGCTATTCTCAGAAAGCTCAGCAAGCCGTCCGGCGGTCTTTGCCAAGTTGTTTTTAATTTTTACTCTTACAGTGTCCACTCCCTCCTCTAGTGATTCCTGAGCCTCAGCGTAGGAGTTGTAAATGAATCAGTTGGGTCATCATGTGGTGCTTGTTCTCCAAGATTTCATCATGTGACTTTCTCTAGTGGTCTCTGTGTGGTGCAAGGAGATCTTTCTTTGGTGAAGGGTGAGGACTACAGTGTCTGTAGGTGTAAGGACAAAGATTCAGATTGTAGTTACAGATTGTACTAGTTTAGTAAAATGTCATTTGGGCTTCAGACCCACTTCACAGAAGGGAAATCATGCCCATACTGAAAACCTAGCCAGCTACCCATGGCTAGTAAAGTCATGGATCTTGGCGGGGAATCTATTTAATGATTGAAGCCAAGCCTTTGTCTCAAGTCAACTACAGAAAGCCTGCAGTAGTCATTTTTTCTGCATGTAGTTAATTTTAATTGTTCACTTTTAGAGAATTTCAGACATCTACAGTATATTTCAAGACTCCCTCCCTCTCCGACTCCTCCTAGAGCTCTCTCGCCATGCCTTCTTCCTCACTTTATGTCTTCTTCTCAGAGTCGTCTGGGCTGTCTCTTGCAGCGTGGCTGTCTCTTGCAGCGTGGCTGTCCATGTATTTCCACAGCATGACAAAAGCAGTCTACCCACTTAATGTCCTTATTTGTCTTTTACAATTTGATTTTTCAGTAGGATTTCTTTTGCAAATAAAAACTGCAGCCTTCTTACCCCATCCGTTATGGAGTGACATGAGTATAAGATAGTGACCGAGGCTGGGGAGAGATCTCGGGAGGTAACGTCTTGCCAGGTGAGCCGGACGGACCTAAGCTCAGAAGTCCATCAGGATACAGTGCCTGCAACCTCAGCACTAGGGAAGTGCACAGTGAGCTCTGAAGCTCACCACCAGCCTGCTTAGCCCATCAGTGAGGGTCAGAGTCAAATAACGGTGAGAGCATGAAGAAGATCCCTGACTTTGACCTCTGGTCTTCATATGCACAGATACAACTGGGTCCTTTGAGCCACTGACTACCATATAGACAGTACTTCCAGAGCATAGAGTAGGAAGTGCCCTTACCCGTGGTCAGGGAGGTTGAGGATGGGGTTGTGTGGAGCTTGTCACGAACCCAGCCATATTCCATTCAGTCCACACAGTCTAACTTGTTTTTTCCTCTCACAGGCCACCTCCACCACAACCGAAAATATCTTCTCAGGGAAATTTGATTCCTGCTCGGCCGGCCCCCGCACCTCCTTTATACAGCTCCCTCACCTGATATTAGAGTCATATTTTTTAAATGTCTTCAGGGAACTGAGCAAGTGTTGTTTTTTTTTTTTCCTGATGTTTTCTTGAAAAGCCTTTCTCTTCCAACCATGAACAGAAACCACCACAAAACAAACTTTGTTAACACAGAAGCTAGTGGGGATTGAGAAATACAGGAACATGCAGGCACTCCGGGAGTTTGAAATGGCCGTTTCCATCATTTGAATGTTTCCTTTGGCCATTTGTGAATTTAATACACTTGATGTGGATTAAGTTATTTTGAACATGTTACTGTAATGATCCTCAAATTGCCTGTATTAGTGTAGGATTTGTCATTATGCGCTTAAACAGAATCCTGACTTTTGGACCCCAGTTACCATTGATAGTTTCTGGTTGAACATTTGAACATGTATTAACTTAGGACGACTAATTGCCAATAACGTCTGCATTTTCACCTTGCATGGATTAACAGCCATTTATACGGACTTATGTCTCTTAATACACAAAGAAGCAGATATCCTGAAGGAGAATATACAAGCACCACAGTTACCAGATCATGATATACTTGGAAAGTGTGAAATATGGTGTGTACTCAGTTATTGGCCAGATCATGTTATACTTGGAAAGTATGAGATATGGTGTATACTCAGTTATTGGCTTCCATGTTTTATGATCTTTCAGCTATAATAACTATGATAGAAATCGACTTAACACAATCAGTTATTGGCTTCCATTTAAAAATATCTTTTCAACTATAATGGCTATGATAGAAGCTGATTTAACTCTAAGTTTTCTCTCTGCATCCTGGTAAAGCATTGCAATAGTGTTGTTTTCATTGAAGTGCACACTCTATGGTACGAGGAGTTTATGCTTCCTAAGCAGATAGGCGTCGATCAAACAGGAACAGGGAGAATCCCTTCCAACAGTTGAGGTGTTACAAAACCACTTGAGAATTCATGAGCACTTTAACTCTAAAATCTGAATTTCAAAGCTTGATATTAAGTCATTTAGAATGTTTACATTTACTAAGGTATGCTGGATCCTGTCTCTTTTGACTAATATTTTCATAAACATTAGGCTGGAGAAAGGAAGGAAGCAATGGTTTCCTCATATTGGTCTCTGTGATTACTCGCTCAGCTGTATTAAAATGAATTTGTACTTTGGAAGGAATGATATTGACACTAAAATTTTAAACATTTAAATTTTTTCATAATCTTTCATAAAGAAGTTTAATAATAGGTATATTAACTGAATTTCATTAGTTTTTTAAAATAATATTTTGTTTGTGTATATATACATATTAAAATAAAAACATTTACAACAAATAAAATACTTGAAATTCTTGTTTGGGCATCCTGTTACTTTCTAAATACACAACTATTTGGATTCTTCTTCATTTCAGTGTTAGGCTTCAGCCAAATGTGCACATTGGCTGCACCTAAGGAAAACACATTAAAAGATAGAACGTTCATTTTTTTCTATTTGAACAGTTTGGGTATGTACTTACCTTACTAAGGTGAGCCAGCCCCTGCCATTGCTACATACATTAATTAACCACACTGGTAAGTTTCGTTTTTAAGATTTACTTATTTATTTTATGTATGTGAGTACACTGTCATTCTCTTCAGATGCCCCAGAAGAAGGCATCAGATCTCATTACAGGTGGTTGTGAGCCACCATGTGGTTGCTGGGAATTGAACTCAGGACCTTTGGAAGAGCAGTCAGTGCTCTTAACCACTGAGCCATCTCTCCAGCCCCGTAAGTTCCTAAAAAGGAAGTCACATGAGTTTTAGCTGAAGTGTCATGGAGAACTAACCAGGTTGGAAGGAAGCCTGGGGGTGAGTCCGTAGGAGCAGTGTGCCCGTGGAAAGGTAGACTCCAAGGAAGAAAAGCAGTTTACTCTTTCCAGAAAAATTTCTCCACGCATCTTAAAAAGCAATCTCAGGTTAGCCTTAGAAAGAGTACACATGTATGTTGTGTACTTTTTTGACCCCTGCGTGCCATCGCAGCCTTTCCAGCACTGCGCATGCGGGTTTCGAAGCGGCCAAGCTCTGTGAGAGCTGGGGTAGGTGACGGAGGATGGAGGTGGGGTAGGGGGTTAGGGCGCTCCAAGGACGTGGCCCACGGTGGCCCCTGGCACGTGCCCCACGGCCCGGTGCAACGGCTTTACAACTGCTAGGTACTCCAGGAGACGCCATGCTGGGCGCCATGCTGCACACGCTGCTGCTGCTGCTGCTGGCCGAGCTGGGGAGCTTGCTGGCATCAGGACCCGGTGAGCGCTCCGCAAGGCGGGTTCTCTGAGATTGGGGGGCACTTTTCTTGTAGGTCTGTCATGCACATCATAAAGCTCAAAAAAGTGTACCCCAAAAGAGCACTCCCAACAGCTTTTGGAAACCACTTAAACTCAAATATCCCCAGCTTAATTCTTCCAACACAATTGACGTGCAAAGATAGAGGAAAGAAAAGACGATAAGCCATAAACCCTCAAGCTCAGAGAGAATGCAGAGGTGCATGTGGAAGCTGGGGCAGAATCTTGCTAGAGTTTTGGAATCAAGTAGGGCTCAGCAACTTGACAGGCTGTGATGTTCAAGCTGTTCTGAGTCCAGCGGTCCAGCAGGTGCCAGTCCAGTGCTTTTCTCTAGCTCTGAAGTCTGCTCATCTGTTGAAGCTGTAGAATGCATCTTTTGAAAGGTGAAGAAGTCAGGATAGCACCACGGTTGGTGTTCTGAGTGTTCTCTTCCTGGTTTATTAGAAGTAGAAATTGAATAACGTATAGCAACATCTAAAACAGCATCATATCCTTTATATGTTAACACGCTTCAAAACTAAGAACCGTTTTTCAGGGGGAAGAATAGAAAGTTGACGTAACTTTGCATTTTGTCGATCTCCTGAACACGTGCTTCAATAAGGGACAATGAGGTTGTATAGCTACTGCTTCCAGTCTCGTGCTGCATGCTCGAGTTGAAGGACAAGAAAGAGAGCTTTGGATGCCATTTCAGATAATTACGAGCTCTCTGCTTGCTACATGCACACTGGACAAACAGAAAAAGAAGAACTGCAGTATAGAATCTAAAAACACACCAGCCAGCTTTCTTTTTATTTTTAATTAAAGTGTATCACTAACTCTTCTCTTCCTCCCTCTAATTTATTCACCCCAACTCCTTTGACTTTTTATATGTATATTAAATCTATCTATCTATCTATCTGTAGAGATAGATATGCATATACCAGCAAACTTAATGAAATTCAATGGGATATCAATATTGATTATTTTATGTATGCATATTTTAATATTTTAATCTATTATCTCTTAATTTGTTAACTGTAGTAAATACAGAACTTAATAGCTTTTAAAAGATTTTTTTAAATTTAAACTTTATTTTACTTGTATGGGTATTTTGCTTGCCTGTAAGTCTGTGTTTCACTTGTAGGCCTGGTGCCCTTAGAGGTCAGAAGAAGGCGAATCAGAGAAGACTCTCTAGAGCTGGGGTCACAGGCAATAGTGAGTCACCATGTGGGTGCTGGGGGCTGAACCCAGGTCCTCTGGAAGAACAGCCAGTGCTCTTAACCTCTGAGCCATTTCCTCATTGTTTGGTTTTTTAAAGAAAAATCATCAAACTTCACTTTTCAAGGCAGTTTCAGATTCATAGCAAAACTGAGCAGAAACCTGTGTTTGTATGTAGCCCCTGCTCTCTGTCCTCCCATGAGGGGCAACAGCTCACAGTGTTACAGAGATGCTTCTGTTCCAGAGATAGACTCCTGACTGGTCGCACTTGGGTTCCATAACCTCTGTGTTCTGCACAGTACCTCCCAGAGTATTCTCACTGACCTGAGAATCCTTTGTGCTCTCCCACTCACCCTCCTCCCCACCATCCCTAAATGACCGCCTTTTGCTGTCTGCCTTTTCCAGAAGGTTGTATAATTGGGATCACGCACCATGTGGCCTTGCAGACAGGTTTCTTTTTGTTTGACGTATATAGTTTAGAGTCCTTGATGCCTCTTTCTGGCTTGATAGCTTCTCTCTTCACAGCATTGAAAACACTGTCCATTCCACTGTCCATGTCAAGCATAGTTTATCCATTTAGTGGCTGACAATTGTCTCAGCAGCTTCCCAGTTTTAACAGTGGTGAAGACGGCCACTGTCTACATGCTTGCTCAGGTTGTATGTGAACACAGTTTCCCACTACTTTGGTCAGTTACCTGGTGTCACTACAATGATAAGAGGAGATTGTGGTGTCTCATTGTTTTAATTTACAATCTTCTAACGGCATATGCTGTTGAGATCTGGATATTTGGCTCTGAGCCTCACCTTTGTCGTTGAGCCATCTCTTCAGCTCAGCTGCTGAAATCTTTTTACAGGCTTACTTTCTCTTTAGTTTCTTTAGAGAGGCATCTTTTTCAGGTTATTCCTCAATTTTAAAATTTGAGTTGTGTGCCACTATTTTTAAAAATCTTTGTATGTTTTTTTTTTAGGTAATAATCTTTTATCAGATGTGCTTTATTTTTAAACTTTTTATATATGTGTCTATGTATGGTGTGTGTATGTGTATAGTATGTGCGTGTATGTGTAGTGTGTGGGTGCATGTATGAATAGTGTGTATGTGTGTGTAGTGCGTGTGTATTTGTGCATGTATGTGTAGTATATGGGTGCATGTTCGTATAGTGTGTAT